CTCCTCCTCCTCCTCCTCCTCCTCCTCCTCCTCCTCCTCCTCCTCCTCCTCCTCCTCCCAGCAGAGGTCTTCTATTAGGGCACGGGCACCCACAGCACGTGTGAGAGGGCGGGTTGGGTCCACAATCTCTTGGGAAGCTTTTGCGGAGAGGTCGGTTTCCAGAGTGGGTCTGTCTTGGTAGACTTGAGCCGCTTTTACGAGCACATCAGGCATATTGATCTTAGAGCTGCTGGGCTCCAGTATAGGTTCCCACTCAAGGTCCTCAGAGGGCACTGTTCGATCTATGCTGGTTATAAGGCTCCCATGTATGGAGGAGCAACTTCGTCGGTTTATTTGGCGAATGCAGCTGTGGTGGCTGGATGCTCGGGGGCGACAACCCTGGCAAAGTTACTTCTGCTCCGACCTCTCCTGCTCGCGCAGCAAGGTCGTCCGAATCTAGTCATCCGCAATGTGGTAGATGATGTGGCGCTTCAGGCGTGTGGGCGTCCAGTTTAGGTGGCGCAGGTGCTTGCAGGTGCAGTTGGCCAGCTTTTCTCGTGCTTGGAGGAGCTTCACATGCCTGTGAACATCAAGAAAACGAAGTACACGTGCACGCGTGAAGTCCAAGCGCATGTTGCTGGAGCTCGGTGTCTGCCAGCGTCTTCTCGGGTCGAGCACGCACGCAACTTAGGCACAGATGTGGCTACTGGTTCTCGACGACGAATCGGGGTGCAGAGGGCGAGGTTCATCGATGCTGGATCGCGTTCGAAGCGACTTCGATTACTGAGGGAGGCTGGGGCCGATGTGGCTCTTGTACAGAGAATGGGGGCCACGGCCTCAACTCTTTGGGGTAGCAGCGTCTCGGGGATTTCGCCGACGGCCATGCATGGCCTGAGGCTGTCGGCGGCTCATGCGTTAGGGCGCCGCCCAAAAGGTGCCTCCTTGGGGATTCGGTTGCACTCTTTTCGCCTGGGAGAAATCGTGAATCCCTTCGTGGCCTATGTCGGCCACGTGGCCGTCCAATGGGCTACCGCCGTCTGGGACGGCTTCCCGAATGTTTCGAATTTGACTGCGACGGCTGATGCAGCCATAGCGCGAGCGAGTTCGAAGACGCACCCGTGGAGAGGAGCCTCGACTCCTGCGGACGTGGCCGTGCTCAGCCTGCGCCGAATAGGATGGGGCGTTCGCGATTTCCGCACGGTGGAGCCGGACCTCGGGCAGGTCTGGAGAATCTGTCCCAGATATCCCCCGTCGATGTTCGGCTGCAGGTCAGAGCTACGGCCATCAGGGCGTCTGATAAGCAGGCCTTAATGCGGGTGGGTGATGACCTCCCAGGGTACCCTCTGTTCTGGGATGCTTTGAAGCCTCTTCTCCGATCCTCCTCCTCCTCTTGGAAGCCCCAGCATCAGAGGTCCCTGAGGAGCTTGATGAGCAATGTGCATTGGCCTCAGGCCAGGGTGCACAAGTATGGTTACCACAGTTGCTGCAAGTGTAGGATCTGTCAGGAGGAGGCGGGTAGCTTGTTTCATCGGCAATATCGATGCTCGGCCCACGCTGCACTCAGGAGGGCATGGTCTCGCCACAGCTAGCCAGCAGGGCTGTCCGCGTGTACGAAGGAGGGGGGAGCTCGCTGAGAGATTTGCGCGCGCGATCTTCCCCTCGCCGATGGTTCTTTTTCCTGCCCAGGAGCCCGAGCAGACTGTGTTCTGGATCAGCAGGCCTGAGTCAGGCCGATTCAGCGGCTTCATTTTGTCGGACGGGCCCGCTCTCTGGCCTGGGACCCCTGGGCTTTCGAGGGCTGGCTGGACTTTAGTACAGGCCGATCCCCTGGGCACTGTTGTAACAGCCTGCTATGGGCCAGTGCCGTTCTCCCATGGGCCGAGACAGTCGGCGAATGATGGAAAGGACTATGCAGTGCATATGCTTTACACAATGCGCAATGGCGCCAGTTGGCTCATACTATGACTGCCAAGAAACCCTGGATGTCCTCTGGGGTGGCCAGGGGGCTGGGGCCTCCGCTGGTGGGCCCAGGGCCCATCTCTGGGCCCCGTTCTGGTCGAGTTTCTCTCCTGGGGACCTCGCGGCGACCAAGACGGCAGCTCACTGCACGATGACTGACGTCCACAGTGGCAAGACGACCCCGTGGGAAATGAAAGCCAACGGTTCGGCCGACTCATATGCGAAGATGGGCGCAGCCAAGCGCAATATTCGCGAGGCAGACGTGGCCTTATACCGAATTCTCAAGTGTCTGGTTAAGGAGTCGGCCAAGTGGGCCGCCAACTTAGAAGTTCACCTGCAGAGTCAGCCCGACAAGCGTCTAGACACTGTGGGGCTCGAGGCGGCAGAAAAGGCTGCTCCTGACACCCGCGAGCATCCGCCCTTGCCTGAGCCAGAGATTGATGAGTCTGTGGGCGGGGACGGGGTGCAGCTGGGGCTGGGTGGGACGGGAGGGTTCGACTGGGCCGACGTGGCCACCTCTGCGTTCTATGTGCAAGGCCATGCCCTGATGCGCTGTGAGATCGAGCGTCCTGCACGTGCTGGGGTCCCCATTGTCTTTTGTGTGAAGTGTGGTGCCTACTGTGAGAACTACAAGCCTGGGGACCTGCTCAGAGCAGGATGTAACCAGCGGCCTAGGTCAGCTCAAGTAAGGCACCAGCTGAAGAGAATTCGAGACGGTAAGCGCCCTCACGGAAGGGCCTCGTCCAAGAACACTGCCGTCTCCCAGTCTTGTGGGCTCTCGGAGGCGGAGAGGGATCTCATGCGCGTTCGCTGTCTTTCCTCGCCTCCTCCTGCCGCTGGAAAGGTAGGCCCTGCGATGCTCGGCCACGCCTCTCGCGAGGCTGCGCTGGAGGCCTTCGGCCTGCAGGAGTGCGACCTCGACACAGCCAGGTCGATAGGCGAGGCGGCGCGCCGACCTCCCCAAGATCCCAAGGACGAGGAGGCCTCGGATTCGGAAGGAGAGGTGTTTTTGGTTTTTACCACTGATTTTAGGTCGCTCCACAACAACCTCCTCCTCCTCCTCCTCCTCCTCCTCTCCTCCTCCTCCTCCTCCTCCTCCTCCTACTCCTCCTCCTCCTCCTCCTCCTCCTCCTCCTCCTCCTCCTCCTCCTCCTCCTCCTCCTCCTCCTCCGCGAGCGTGCCGCCACGGCCCGCTCCGTCCTGCATCACGCCCGAGGCGGGGTCGGC